CTTCATTTGAGCTTGCCCGGGAACAGCTTCAGCCTCGAGTTATAGAGTAGCACCAAAAACTGCCTTCCTTAAGCTCTTTATGAACCAACTTCTTGTCATGAGCCGCCTTAGTACGCTCCTTGTAGATCCTAGCGCTTTCCTAGGCGTCCAGCACTTAGCTCATCAAGCTTATGTAGCTGAATCAAGCGCTTCTCCTGAGCTGTCTTGAGATCATAGTTCAACTTGCTTCACAGCCCACAATGCTCTATGTTCCAACTCAACAGGGAGGTGACATCCTTTTCCGTAGAGAAGAGTAAAAGGAGTGGTACCAATGGGGGTTTTGAAAGCGGTCCGGTAAGCCCACAAAGCATCGTACTAGCTTAGCCGCTCAATCCTTCCGAGTAGTACCTACTGTCCTCAAGAGTATTACATTGATCTGCCGGTTAGAGATCTCTACATGTCCACTCGTTTGCGGATGATAAGGTGTAGCTACCTTGTGCTTCTTACCATACTTCTTAAGAGGTTCTCGAATACTTTGTTGATGAAATGGCTGCCACCGTCACTGATCACAACCTTAGGGACTCCAAATCTTGGGAATATGATGGTTTTTAAAGAGCTTGATCACCACCATAGAGTCGTTTGTAGGGGAAGCAATGGCCGTCTACCCATTTAGATATGTAGTCAACCGCTACTAGGATACTTGTTGCCGTAAGAATATGGGAATGGACCCACGATATCCCTTGTATTTACACCATTTAGGGCTGCATTTAGTACAAATTTTGGTCCTCTTTGCATGTTTTCCCTTTGCTTTTATCCCATTTTCTTCTCCTTTTAGACTTTGGTTGCATTTAGAGCATAGTTTGCATTTTCTTTGCATTTTGGATGTTTTTTAGGTGCTTTTGGAGCTTAAAGGAGCTTCGAGGAGTTTTGGGAATGATACAAGATGCTAGCTGGGGCAAAAGGGAGCAAGAAGGAATCACAGCAGAAGATCTCTGCAGAAGTTTTCGGTCAGAGCACAGAGAGTTTCGGTCAAGGGTGACCGATACAGAGCATATCAATCACCAGTATCGGTCAAGTGTGATCGACACAAACACACCGGATGAATTTTGGTCATATGTGTCGATCACTCCAGACCAATAGGGACCTATTTCGGTCACTGAAGATTGACACAACTGACCGATACTGACCCAACCCGAAACATGATTATGAGTGAGTAGTTATCTTAGGGTTTCTAGATGCGGTAGATTAGGGGGATTTAAGGCTTGATTAAGGTTTGTTAAGTGCTTTTGTTTATGGGTTCCTCTCTATTAATCTGTTATTCATGCTAGATTATGTCTTGATGAAACTTGTGTAAGTGTTAGCTTTCTCTTATGCCCACCAAGTGTTTGATGAAATGCTGATAATGTTTAATAGAGGATTGCTGGCCTTGGCTCAAGAGATTGGGACTGTTTGAGGAGCATTTTGACTTGAATAGAGTTGTTTAATCATGCTTGCTTGATGTTTTAGCACTAATGAGAGTTAGTTCTTGTTATAATGTTTTAGCAAAAGGTTATTTGCTAAGAGATTGGATCTAACTAGCTTCATTGTGAACTCTATGTCTAGGAATTACCATTGCTTCTTACTTGCTTTATCAATATAGTTTGAAACAGCCTTAGATAATGTCTGAAATTCCCCAAAGTCAATAACCACATCTAGAGACTTGTCTTTCTCTTATTTGAATTTCGGATTTGCTCTGTTTTGCTCTGTTTTTCTTGCTTAGAACTGCTTAGTTTGCTTTTGCTTTTACTTTGTTTGCTGCTTGCTTCACTTATGTTGCTAGAACTGTTGCTTAGGCAACAAATCCAATTCTCTGCTTGCTTGACTTAGAGATTTTTTACTCTCAACTCTTCTGTTTTCAACTCTTTCCATTGGTATTGACATAAAACCCTTTACTACAACGACTAGTGCAAGGGTGATTGAACCAAGGGTCACAAAACCTTGTAGGTGCAAATTGCGCCGTTGCATTTTGGAATCAGTTTGAATCATTAGAGTTTGTAGAATTTTAAGGATCAAGCTTTTTATTTTCTTGTTTACTAATTCTCTTTGACTCTCACTTTTGTATTTCAGGTATATGAACTTGAGATCTCGAGTCGAGCAATATAATGGATTTAATAGACAAAAATCAATCTGCTGGATATAGGACAGAGAGAAAGGAGACAGCAAGAAAGGAGGAACACTTGCCAAAGGAATGGTAAATGAACAATCAGGATAAAGTCATGGATGAAATCAGACAGCTAGACCTATAGGGGCTGGTGATGCACCAAATGCCTACAACAACATGACAGATATCATTCCACCAGCTGTCCAAAACAACAACTTTGAAATCAAGTCTGGATTCATTTCAATGGTTCAGAGCAGCAAATTCCATGGGTTACCACTTGAAGACCCTCTAGATCATCTGGAAAATTTTGACAGGCTGTGCTCCCTCGCAAAGATAAATAAAGTAAGTGTAGATGCCTTCAAGCTCAGATTGTTTCCCTTTTCCCTAGGAGACAAAGCACATCAGTGGGAGAAAAACCTTCCCCAAGGGAGTATCACCAGCTGGGATGAATGCAAGAAAGCTTTTCTAGCATAGTTTCTCCACATCCAGAACTGCTAGGATAAGGAATGAGATCTCAGGATTTTCACAGAGGAACAATGAAAGCTTTGGAGAAGCTTGGGAGAGATTCAAGGGTTACACATTGCAATCCTCATCATGGCTTCTCACAAGCCTCTTTGCTCTCCACTCTCTACAGAGGAGCCTTGCCTAAGATCAGAATGCTCCTGGACACAGCTCCAATGGGAACTTCCTGTTAAAAGACGTAGATGAAGGTTTGGAGTTAGTAGAGAACTTGGCTCAGTCTGATGGAAACTACAATGAAGAATTTGACAGAGCACCAAGGAGTGCAAAGGATGAGTTAGAGTCTAGCAAGAAAGAAATCATGTCTCTACTATTGACTTTTGACAATCTTAAAGAATTTATTTTCTTTTTTTGTTGAAATCTTATTTTTCATATCAATCTTACAATTTACAAATTCTTTTTCCATATTAATCTTAAGGAAAACATTTAATGAATTAATTATAGATAAGAATTTAAATAAATTACTTAACAAAGAGTACAAACTCTATCATTGTGGTTTGTCATAATTTAAGAAATTTTTTATGTTCTTACTTATGAATTCTTCTTGTTTATATCAATTTCATAATTTATAGACCTTTCTTTCATATCAATTTAAAGGAAAGAATTTAATTCATTAATTATAAAAGAAAATTTTAAATAAATTATTTCACACTAAGAGTGTACATTTGACTTTATATTTTTTTTCATGATTTATATATTAAATTCTTATTTTTAATATTACAAGTACAAATTTATAGAGCAAACTAAAAAAAATGACACATAATTATATTAAAATTTTAATATAAAAGAAGTGTTTAACTCTAAAATTTATTTAAATTTATATAGTTATTTAATGTAAAATGATTATGAAACCTTAATCAACACAAATTATATTATTAAATACAAATATTTATCAAATCGTGAATTGTACCAAGAATCATACCAAATGTACAGAAATCACATGAGTCAAATGTTTCTGTAATTCAAAAGCTAATGTGAATCACTAATTTACAAATTGTGTAAAATTGTACAATTCAATCAGAATCGTGTGATACTAACAGTACTGATGAAGAGCTATTTAGTTGTTCTGTATATCAAGTTGTTTTGAATTCCTGGACTTTTCCAAGTTAACTAAAATTAAATGTTTTTCAATGAAAAAATGCCAACTAGGGGGGGGGGTGGACCTTTGCTATCATGAAAAGAGACATTTTTCAAAAAATTAAAAGCAGGAATTTCTGAAAATGGATCTCTACAGATATGCTTATGCACCTTAATAAGTAAATTACTAGGAGCAACAGTTCGCTGAAAATTATCCTAATTGTTGTTCGAATTTACAGGACTGCCATGCGGTGATATGCAAGTCAAGTGACCGTAAAACACGATAAATTGTTATGTGCTTCTTTCTCATTATATAAAATTATTTTCACGGAATTTCCTAACAGAATTATATAGCAATAATTTTAAATAAATAAATGATAATAAATAGCATTATATAACAATTTTATGCATCTTAATTTACACAGCCTGATGTAGCGGCACCCCAACGTCTAATTTCATCAATTGGGTCTTTGGATTCTCAATTAAATCCTGAAACTTCTAATCTTTCGATTAGACCCTCGATCTATTAATTGAATCTCTAAACTTTCAGTTTATCTCAATTAGTCCCGACCTCATGAATTGGTCCTTCACCTTGAAAATTACATACTTGACCCTAACTTTCATTAATGGCCTCAAATTTCAATTTATGCGTATCCTTATGAGGTCCTTCAACTTAAAAATTACATACTGGACCCTAAACTTTTGATGTTGGCCCTAAAATTTCAATTTATGCATATCCTAGTTCTCTGACAGCCTTCAATTCCAGCATGAACAAAGCGTTCCTCTTTCTTCTTTTTTCCCCCCCTCTCTACAAGTATGAGCACAAGTTAAAAGTTTATTTGGATGTTCTCTCGCCTCAAAAAATCTAAAATAATCAGAAAAATCGCAATTTATTTTTAGGAACTTTGGAAATAAATAAACATTTTTTTTATAAATTAAAAATTATAAAAAAAAATTATTATTTTATGTTTCAATATAAACTGAAATTCTAAGAGAAAAAAAAATAAAACAATTACGTAGTAGTTGATCTCGAGTGGTGGGAATCAGCAAACTTCGCGCTGAAAAATAAGATACAATTTTCCAACTCAACCCGATCCCCGCAACGACCGGCCCAGCTCATCGCCTGCGTCATCCCTGCCATCCAGGACTCTATATATAGCTTTCATTAGTTTTCCTATGACAGAAATCAGTGGAAGGTTTTGGCTCTCCTGCACTTTCTCTCTCTATACTTTCTATTCTCTCTTTTGCTCTTTATCACTAGGCTGCAATTTTACTTTCACACTAGCTCTTGATGGCCAAATCACGGGAGGAACAACACCCAGTGAAGGCAGTTGGATGGGCAGCCAGGGACTTGTCTGGCGTCCTGGCACCCTTTAAATTCTCCAGAAGGTAAAGCCTCTGTTCTTCGATTAAACTTGCCTGTCTCTGTCGGTGATTTAATGTAATGTCCTAATTGCACGCAGGGCAACTGGAGAGAAGGATGTGACGTTTAAAGTGTTGTATTGTGGCATCTGCCACAGCGACCTCCACCAGGTCAAGAACGAATGGGGCATCAGAACTATCCCGTTGTCCCTGGGTAATTCTTTCACTTTCCCTCTCGATACTTTCTTCGCTAACCTTGATTTACGCACAGATTTCTGAACTTCCTAAACTCATGATTCGGTCGACTGCAACGTAGGCATGAGATTGTGGGTGTGGTGACAGAGGTGGGGGGCAAAGTGCAGAAATTCAAAGTTGGAGACAAAGTTGGAGTTGGGTGCCTTGTCGGATCATGTCATTCATGTGAAAACTGTGCTAATGATCTCGAGAACTACTGTCCCAAGGGCATACAGAGACATACAACGGCACTTACCACGATGGTACCCCCACGTACGGAGGCTACTCCGACATCATGGTATGTGATGAGAGCTTTGTCATTCGCATTCCAGAAAACCTCCCTCTGGACGCTTGTGCTCCTTTTGCTCTGTGCTGGGATCACAACTTATAGCCCACTTAGGTATTTCGGACTTGACAAACCTGGCATGCATGTGGGCGTGGTTGGTCTTGGTGGCCTTGGCCATGCAGCTGTTAAATTCGCCAAAGCTTTTGGAGTGAAAGTAACGGTGATAAGTACCTCTCCTAACAAGATGAAGGAAGCAACTGAGCGTCTCGGTGCTGACTCCTTTTTGGTCAGCCGTGAACCAGATCAAATGCAGGTAACCATTTATCCACAGTTCTCTAATCAAGTTCTATAAGTTTTATTCTTACGGATTTGACGGATGCAACTATAGGCTGCAGTGGGCACAATGGATGGTATCATTGATACCGTCTCCGCACCTCACCCTCTGTTGCCATTGATTGGCCTATTGAAGTCTCACGGAAAGCTGGTCATGGTTGGTGCACCAGAAAAGCCACTTGATCTTCCAGTGTTTCCTCTGCTATTGGGTAAGCATTTGCATTTTTAATAATACAGTTTCTTGGTCGTGGGTTTTAATGTATCTTAATGCTTCGTCAAGAAAGATAGCTGGCTAACATGTAGCGTTGGGATGACAGGGAGAAAAATAGTGGCTGGGAGTTGCATTGGGGCATAAAGGAGACGCAAGAGATGATCGACTTTGCAGCCAAACACAACATAACGGCAGACATTGAGCTTATTCCGATGGATTACGTCAACACTGCAATGGAGCGACTGGTGAAGGCTGATGTTCGATACCGATTTGTCATAGACATAGGCAACACTCTGAAGGCTGCTTAATCATGCTTTGTACTACTTTTTCATCATGTTTTGCGCTTGTTACTTTTGCTTGCCCCAGATGCTGGGACATTATGTCCCCACCTATTAGTAGAATGTTCAGACTGTTTCACATCATGTTTTAAAATAAATGCAGTGATCTGATTTAACAACGCATTGGCTAATTTGCAAATTACACCTAATCGTAGAACCCATATCAGTAATTGAATAATTTAGAACAGTTTAGGTGTTCCAATTCCAGTTTGCACAATGTCTCTCCCTTTTGATCGACAATTGTTTTCGGGAAATTCTACAGTTCCCTACCCATTTTTGGTGGTTTGAAACCCTTCCCTACGTGATCTAATAGTTATTGGAACGGTACACATCAATGCTAAGTACTAACCAGAACTTCAACGCATAAGTCTTCCAAATTAATTATAATTTTAAAAACTATCCTTATTTGAGGACTTCAGTGAAAAAAGGGTCGTGGAGCATCTCCCTCCTCGCCTATGTCAAAGGCATGATCCTACTACGACGATGATTGAGATGCCACTAGCGACGACCTCAGTTGGAGATTAGGGGATGTCATCGACGAGGAAACTCTCCTTCGACTTGGATTTTTCAGTTCCAGGTCGCAAAGAGAGCGGAAAACGCCTTTGCCCTTGCCCAGTCCTAGCCATCAAGGAGAAGAAACAGGAACAATGCAACTGCCCTCGCTGTTCAACTAGAGAAGACGATTAGTTGAATGGAAGAAAGGGAGACAAGAGATGGCACCGAATGACCAAGCCGAACACCCCTACCATTGCTCTGTTCGCCCCTGAAGCAATTTCACATCAGCGTACGAAGGTAGGCAAATGGCAAAAGGCTATTTACTCACGAAAGACCACTCTAGTCAACTCATCCTGCTCGCCGAAGGCCGCATAGCGTTGTGGATTGGGGGGAGGAAGCGACGGAGTTCGTTGCTGCACGCTAGGGCTTCCCACGCAGAAGGGATGAACACTGCAAGGAGCTTTGCACTATGGTCCCTCAACCTTCTTTAACTGCTTCAAAATGGTCCACATTTTTTTATTTTCACACGTCTGTCACCACACTTTGAATTTCTTCAATTAAACCCCTACCAGCTTCAACTTTCAATAAGGTATTTTATTTGAATAAGTTTCAGTAGGTTTTAATTTTTTTATTTTGAAATTATATTTCTTATTTTTCTTTAAAATTTAGATTTTTCTATTTCTTTTTAAGATATTTATAAATCTATTTAATATATATTTTTTAAAAATGCACAGCAATAGAAAAATCCATCCATTTTGCACTATTAACAAAAAAAATAAAAGATGAAATAAAATATTCATTATTAGCAACAAAAATGATTTTATGCTAATATTTCCTGTATTTAAAAAATCATTTTTTATTATTTTTTCGAATATAAAAGGAAACGAAAATCTCCATCACGAGTGATGTGATGAAGGTTTTGCCTTTACCTCTAAAATTTTTCTTTATAAATGCCCTTCAGGATAGGAGTCCCTCAAGCACACAAAAAACAGTTAAAAAGACAAATCATTTCTTAATATTTAATTTTTATTATATTTACATATCATAAATCTGATAGATGAGATTTTGTTTTGCTAAAATGAAAGAGTGTTATATATATATATTATATATATATATATATTGGAGGTTGTAACTAAAGGAGGGCATGAGGGTAGATTTAGAATGGAATCTAATTTTCAAATAAATTTCACAAATATTTTATCACTTTTCACTAGAAAACATTTATTTATCCACTTATAATATGCAAATTATTTGGACATCTATGTAGCTTTTTGTATTAATATTATTTTTATTTATTTACCAAAATATGATGCTTTGAAAGAGTTTACCAAATAAGAAAATTAAAAATAAAACAAAATAAAAAACCTTGAGAATTCAACCCTAGGAGTAAAATAATTTAAAATATTATATATATAATTTATAAATAATTTTAAGTAATAAAAAATAAAATAAAAAGCCCTTGAAATGAGTAAAATATTTAAAATGTAAACCATAATTTCTAAATAAATTGACTTAAAAATATGATAAAAATAAAATAAAAATCTTGAGAACCCAAAAAATTATATATAAAACATAATTTATAAATAAATTAATTAGAAATAAAAATCTTAAGAAGTTGGTTCCATGGGACCGACTTCACAAGGAAGAAAATAAAAATAAAAATATAAATTATAAATAAATTAATATAAAATCAAATCAAATATAATTTCAAAAGTACCCTTCGAGGAGTTGATTCAGCAGAAGCATTTTCTTAAGGGCTGAAAAAGGTGTTAAAATATAATATATAATTTATAAATAAAATATACTAAAATGAAAAATAAATAAAAAATTTGAGGAGTTGGTTCCTGTCGAAGTAACTTTTCAATGAGTAAATAAATTATTATTTAACATATAATTTATAAATAAGTTAAAATATAAAATAAAACTGATTCTCAATGATGGACAGCAGGATGATCATTGTCCGCGTTGCTTTGGATATGGTAGATCATCGATTGGCGTGACATTTGGCGCGATTTGATTCGATCCCCTGACACAAATTATTTCTTTTTTATTTTAAAAACCTGAAAAATTTGTAAATATCTGGATGTTAGTGACAATGTTGCCTCTCTTATTTTTTTTTTGCATTTCTACACGTGTCGTTATTTCTTTAATTATCATATTGTCCCTCACTTGTTTACTGAAAGGACGAGCATATCCTTATATTTTTCATTTAATTTTATTTGTGTCCTTCGTTAATAATTTTTATTGTATTAAATAATTTTAAACTATTTAACTATATAAAACTCAATTTTAAAGTATTTATAATAATTTCATCATAAAGAATAATAAAAAAATTAAATCTAATAATTAACCTAATGAATTAACATAATCTTTATCAGAAAATATTTAAAATATTAGATGTGATATAATAAAACATTTTTAGATTAATTAATTTTAATAAAAAATTAAACTGAATGACACAACTATAATTATACGAAAAGCAAAAGGGCGAGCTTGTCCTTAAATATATTCACTACCCAATGGCTTTAAAATGTATCAAGTCCACCAATCCTTCAGCTTTATGACATGTGAATATAACAAAAAAGAAATATTAAAAAAGATTGTCTTTTTAGCTATTTTATGTGTGAGGGCTTTTTATTAAAAAAAAATAAAGATTAAAGGCAAAACCTTCATGACGTCACTCGTTACGGGGATTTTGGTTTTTTTTATTTGACAAAAAATATTTTTAAATTATCAGAAATATTAGCGTGAAATCGCTATAGTTGTTGCTAGTTAATGAATTTTTTCATTCGTCTTTTATTTTTTGTTAATAATATAAAATTGATGTAGTTTTTTATTGTTGTGCATTTTTAAAAAATATATATATTAAATAGATTTATAAATTTTTAAAAAGAAATAGAATAATATATATTTTTAAGAAAAAATAGGAGATGTAATTTTATATATGAAAGAAAAAGTAAAACCTATTGGAACATTATATCAATAAAATATCTTATTGAAAGTTCTAACTGGGAGGGCTTTAATTGAAGCAATTCAAATTGTGGGAGATGACGTGAAACATAAAGATTTTAGATATAATTTTGAAGCAGTTAAAGAAATGTCATAACCTAACCCTGTAATCGTGACCGAACGGAGTAAGGGTTCATCGATCTTAGTAAGTCTCATAACACTAATACATACCAATAATACAAATCGTATACCAAGCATACTAATGTAATATTCAAATCCACAAATAAGATCTTATTTGGGAGTATAAGGAGGTATTCTAAAATACGAAAAAAGAAAGATACAAAAAAAGTGCCTCACACAACAATCAATCTACCAATATGGGCTCCAGCTCTGGCACGCTAATCAAGATGAGAATCACACACTAAATCTGGAATAATGATAAAATGTGAGTCGCAAAACTCAATGAGTGTGGATGATACTTAATCTATACATATCGAGATATGTATCACATCGAATGTTCAAAACTAGATGCATACATATACACATACAGTGAGCAATTTCAGTATCCAAAATATACATATACAGGAGTATAATAATTATATCACGAGACTCCAGCCTCGTGATTCTCACAATCAAAAGAATCCACTATATCAACGATAAGAGGCATCATAATCACAATCACATTAGATGGTCATCCCTCGATCGGGTCCATATTATGCCCACTAGGGCAATACATTCACCAGAGCAACATAATCTTAATACATAACATAACTCCCCACATAAAACTCTAAAACAGATATATATAGTTCATAACTCAAAACCAATATCACATATCAACATAATTCACTAACAAGTCAACAAATTACATAACACCCATATATAAAACATATAATAAAATACAGTTCATAAACCATCATATGATCCAAGTTAGAGAACACAGTAAGAAAATGCATGCATAGAAAGGATATCATCACTCACAGTACTGATACTAAGCCAAAACAAAAATCTCAAGTCACCCTCACTCAACTCAACAATCCAGGTGCACCTTCGCCAGCGTATCTATAATCACAATACATAAAATCACAACCGGTGTCAAAACTGATACAAGAAAAGGACTCGACAACTCCTAAAACTGGCTCAAATCCCACTCTACAATCTTAGCATGCATCACAAAGGCTCATTGCTCAACACCTCGAATCCACAAAACTCAAGTACACACACATCCAAATCCTTCAAAAACCTTTAAATCGTACTGAATCGATCTCCAAAACCTCGAACTTGCCTAAATTGGCCCAAAATTGCCTGAAATTGAACTAAATCAGCCATGAAAACCTCAAAATTGGATTGAATCAGCCTCAAAACCTTAGGAACTGAACTGAACCGACCAAGAACTGCTCAAAATAGGGCTGAACCGGCCACAAGAGTTCTCTAAACTAGCCTAGAAACCCTAGAACCAGGCTAGTTCAGCCACAAACCCTCAATTTTTGGCCAAACTGAACTTTTCGTGACCCCCAGACCAACATGGT